CGCTGTTGGTAGGTGCGTGTATATGGCGGTGCAGAAACTTCATGAAATGTTGCTGCTTAAATTCTTGCGACGGCAACTACTGATAACTATTGAAATAATCTGTAATAGATAAAAATCAGACTTGATCGTTGTGTGTGGCAATGAATCGGTTAATAAAAACATTTTGCAGTTTTCAGTAATATTCCACATGATGGCAGTGAGTATCGGATTAAATCATGTGAATTACGAACTATGCCACTATTGACATAATTGAGCCCAAAAAAATTCAGAGGCTTAGCGAGCTTTATTATGTCGTGCGAATGAAAGAAAATGCTTCGCTATAATCATGTTTGATTTGGCATCTTGGGGGGAAGAACCAGGTGTTCAGCGATTTAAAGGCACTACCAACAAGCATCAGCAAGGAATAATTTACTACCAACAAGGAATAATTTATTATTCATTGCATAGTAGGCTATAGTTTAAGGATTAATGCTCTTCATTTCTCCGTTTTCGGGATAAATTAATCGTAAACAAGTCAAAAAACTTGCATGCGGCTTTTTAGTTAGTTTGGCACAATTATTTTTTTATTGTTGCAATATAAAGCACCCACATACGCACTCGCATGCCCGGACCTATTTAAAAAGCTTTTGTATGCGAGCTGACTCAAGAATAAGTGCCAAGTTGCTCCCAACATTTCTTCCAACTAATGGTACACATCTAAACATTCATTGTGTGAGTGTGTCTGTGATTATGTGAGAAGAAGAATCTTCTCGCATGCAGCAAAATCTGCACAAAACTCGTTGATGCAAATGAAGCATTAAGAAAACTTTCACTCACTGTAGATCAAATGCCAAGTTAACCACAGATAGATGAGCTACGTTTCGTACTTCAATTTTTTTGCTGTGCATTTTAATTTTTTTAATATATTTACATGGATGTTCTTTTAACAAAATCTATGCATTTAATAAAATATAAAGAGATCATGAAACTTAAAAAAAATTAAATGAGGTGAGCTTACAACAGGTTCCACATACGTCATCAGTGCCGGTTTTAGCAGTAACGTCGCCCCTGGGCGAGATTTCTAAGGCGCCCCCTACCTACTATTGAAAACCATGTAAAAAAGCGAAAAAAACAAATTGTACTTTGACATAAAAATAGTTCGTATTATAGGTAAAACTAATAGTATAAATTTGAAAACAACGAGGCATAATGAACCTCATATTATGTGTTTTTATATATAACAAAAACAAATATTCATGTATACTCGTACTGACATACTTTCTTAATCATCAAACAAATGATTTATTCCTGATAATACTAATAAAATTTTACTTTTCTGGCCTTTCTATCGGCAAACTCTCTTACTACTGCATTAAAGTCTATGGTTTGTGCTATTTCGTTTTCGATTGACAAAATTGCTAAGTTTGTTAAGATGGACTGAGACATCGTCGATCGCAGATAGTACCTTTTATAAACAAGTAGTATTAAATAACTTTAGTTTAAGTGCGGTTGAAAGTGAAAAGTGACTTAATAGAAAACTATTTTTTTAAGTCGATCTGGCGCCCCTGGGCCGTCGTCTCACCTCGCCCCCGCTAACGCCGGTACTGCACATCATTACATGTTTCAGGCTATGTTCACATCGTCTTTGAAAACTCACTGTGAATGATGCTCAATGCAATCCAACATTTGCAACATTTTTTTTTTGTTTAGAATTTTTTTAATCTATCACAACTATTGTTACTTCTGCAATTTATTGTCATTGTTGTTGTTGTTGTTTTTGCTATTATTACTTGCAATGTGTAACACGTTCTACCCACGAAAAAAAAAATGTAATGTGAACAACAACAAATACAAAGATCAACAGCAATAACAACAATAACAACAACAAGAAAAAGTTTTCTTTCTCATGCGCTATAAATTGTGTTACCGGCGTGTCGTACCTGATCCCTACCCTGTATCGTTAAAGCGCAAAAGGGGTGTGATTTGTGACGACGCCATACTAAATATGCGCAAAACACATGAACGGCAAGCATTCTCGCGTACAAGCTTACACACACATAAACACACACACACATACATGTATGTAGAGTTGTACGCAAAGACTTGAAGGCTGGCTTGGCATGCTTATAACATATTTTTTGGCGCGCGCAAAACTGTCGCTACCTTATCTGCGTCACACTGTCACGCCGTCACACTTCTAAGCAATGAGCTACGAGCACCTGAAGTGCTCTCTAATTCAAACCGTTTCATTAGAGTCTTTCTTTAGACGGGTATTGTCTTCTGTAAGTTATGCGTGTGTGGGTACATTTTGCTAAATAGGTGCGTTGGGTAAATGAGTAACGGAATAAATAACAGTGAGCTAAAAAGTCTTGTCGCCACACAACGTTTTACCTAATTGTAGATATTCATTTGTATATAACCGTACTCCAGTGGGAAAGATAGCTGTTACAGGGTCGTCGTTACTTTCTATATCTTGTTAAGTGTAGTACTTTGTTGTAAGTTTTCCTAAAATCATGCTGTAGGCACCTGTACAGGTGCTCTTCGATATTTGATCTGACAGCAGTAACTTAAAAATGTGATGTCCGAAATTTGCTAAAACCCTGAGAAAACAAAAAAAGCACATAATAGGGAATAATTAAGTGTATTTCCAGTGTCGGAAGTGTTACAACATCAACATACCAGAAGTGAAATGAACCGTGTACTTCACATAGCAAAAATGTTATCCTGGTTTCAGTTTTTGACTTATATGAATTACCGTAACTGCGTTGGGGTCCATGGGGTAATGTGTTCACTTACCGCCCAAAATGTGAACAGAAATATTGTATTATTGAAAGAAGTTATCAAATGCTTAAGAATTCAAAATACCTGCCACAACAAATTTAATTTATTAATTTAATAATTTAATAATTAATTTAATAATTTGTGACTATATTTATGCTTAAAGACAATTCAGTGACATTCGGAATGATATTGCATTGAGAAACGTAGGTCACTGAATCGGTTAGATAAAGAGTTCAAAGACAAAGTTAGCAGACATATCGGCCATAAGTCAGTGATATTCTGCGCACTCATGATATTCAGCTTGCAGGACCATAATTTGTAACTATATTTATGCTTAAAGACAATTCAGTGACATACGGAATGATATTTGGATTGAGAAACGTAGGTCACTGAATCGGTTAGATAAAGAGTTCAAAGATAAAGTTAGCAGACATTTTTGGCTGGTTTTATCAACATCGATGACACTGATATTATCTTTATGGCATATAGTAAGTTACGTTACGATGTACTGACGATCCTGTGCCGAAATCCTATTTAAGCTCAAATATTCGTCCGTTGCGATATGCAGACCAGAAGAATTCAGCGTGAAAGCAACGGCGACTGGCACAATTCTCCCAATCAAGTTAAAACGAACGAAAAGGGACACAAAAGATTTGAATTTCCTCTTAGCAAATGGCCTGACATATGAGGTGCAGTACAGTTTTATCCTCATCCACACAGCCGCAACCCCCACAAGAACTGCACAAGTAGAAGTCAAGAATTAACACATTTAACTTAGATTATATACACCTCTTACCACTTATAATCTTGAAACTAATATATCTTGAAAAAAAGTGTACTGTGTTCTAAAGTGTCTTTTCTTGGAATTACATTAAAGGAAACGACTATTTTTTACTCTCACTGTTGCCATATGACATTTTAGGAAATAAATTTGATTTTGCCGTCATCGCCTCAAGCGTTTGCCACACGAGAATTTTAGCTTATCAAAAAAGTAATGTACGATACATGACACATTCGAGAATTTATGTGTTTGTATCTCATTAAGCGAAGAAGCTCGTTTACGTTTTTAACTAAACTTGCCAAATATAATAAAAGGCACAACAACAATAAGAACAACAAATGATA